ACTAAAAGTCATCTGGTAGAGTGGGAACTAGACGCAGGGCTCCTGGCCCCCGGCCTGTGCCCTGCTGTCATGGGCCACGGTGTCCACCAGACCCTAGGCTGTGGTGATAGAGCAGGTCTTCCCTCAGGGAGGTCACACTGCAGGTCATCCTGTGTGGGTGAGGGAAGGAGGAAGGAGACCCCACAGAAACACACACCCCCCCATGCACTAACAACCGCCAAGACCACCAACCAGGACAGCACAATCTAATATTTCCCGCATGTTGCAGTAAGCTTTGCCCCTGCCTCCTTCCCTCCCCCCCGCCCCCGCCGCTTTCCTCCCTCACCTGTTCTCCCTCTTCTCTCCCAATCCCAAACGGCCTCACATAAGCACAGCACTAGGTCCTCTAAGGGGCTCTCTTGGGGCCTTTCATGTCCCTAAGCCTCTGTCTTTTCAGCTGTAAAATGGGCAGCCCTAAGGTTAGGAGGGTAAGACTGAGACTCGTGAACCTCAGGCCCCTCAGGTCCAGACTCCCTGTGACTCCGAAGTGTGGAGCCCATGGGCTTGGCTGTGGGCAGACAGGAGCCTGGTGCCTGCTCAGTGGAGAGCCTTGAATGGCTGCTGTCATGTGACCTCCCCAACTTTGGGCCTAGCAGAGACCCCCAACTGTCTTGCTTCAAGCCTGGGCTCCTGCACTGCAGTACCCTGACTGTTAGCAGAGAGCAGCAACAATAACCCTCATACAGAACTCTCTGGAGAGACAATCATGCAGGCACACGTGCGAATCACGTGCAAACAGACTCCTGGCTCTTCCCATCTTGGCTTCACGGGGAGAGCCCCGGTTTGAAGTCAGGAGATCCCAGTCTGAATCCCACTGTGTTCCCAGAGAAACAGCACCCCGACTGTTTTTCTATCTGTAAAATGGAGTCAATGGCATTGCAGGTCGGTCCAGTTCCTATCACTGGTTCTGCTTTCTTTATGCCTGTCACTCATGCCTATTGAGGACGCCCCTGTGGTCGGCATTGAATTCGGCACTGAGAAAATAGTGGCAAAGAGGTAGAGCTGTCCCTGTGCCCCTGGGGCTCATGGCCTGGAGGGGAAAGACTGAAAGAGCAGGTGCAAGCCTCAGTCCCCAAATCTCAGAGGAACAGGAAAGGTTCCTTTCCTTATTTTCCTATAACCGAACCAATTTCCATGTGCAGGCCCCATTCTGCCAGGAGACAGAGACTTAAACTGAGGTTTTGGGGTCCCCTTTCCCCCAAATTGCATGATTTCAGCAAAGAGTTCTGATCCTCTTGGGCGTGGTGGAAAAATAAGCTTGTCCTGGGTATCAACAGCTACTCACATTGCTTCCCTCACACCTGCCACAGCCTCCTGACTCTGGGCCCTGATCCCTGCAGAGCCTCTGCAGGTCACCGCTGGGCCAGATGGACCCTGGTTCCTGGCTGCAGCCTCTTTATTTCTGCTGGCTCTCTGCCTTGTCTGCCCCCGACCCCACCCCACCCCACCCCTTCCATCCTGCCCTCCAGTAGCATTACTTACTGCAAACCACATTCCAGCTGCCTCCAGGGGGCGCTCCCCAGAGCAAGGTTCTGCCCCCTATGCTCTGTCACGGCCTTCAAATCCTTCAGCCAGACCAACAAGTCCCTGTTTTCCTCCCCTGCTTCTGTCTCATCATCCTCCCAGCCCCACACCTTCAGCCAAACCAAGTAAGAGCAGTGACTAAAACAACACACGAATGCACGCCCCGTGTGCCAGACACATCACTTCTGTTGATTTACTGAGATCCTCACAATAATCCACAAGGTAATTATTATTATTCTCTCCTTCTGAACTGAGGAGGAAACTGAGGAACTGAGAACTAAGGCCACACAGGCAGTCAAACATAGAGTCCACTTCAGAGTCTGTGCCCATTAAACACAGAGCTGTGCCCCCTGCAACGGAAGAGCCGTCTGCCAGCAAACAGGCCATCTGCTTTCTCACCACCGGACCTTTGTGTAGGAACCCCCCTACCTGGGACCCCTTCTCCTGGCACCCCTTTCACCTGGCTCCCTGAGCTCATCCTTTGTGTCTCCATCCTCCGAGTCCCTCCTGGAGCCCTGGCTGGGGTCTAATGGCTCCCTGGGCTGTTCCCACCGGAGCCCTCGCCTGTGGGCCCATGGGGGTTGCTTCCCTACCACACACCCTCTGAGGCAGGAGCTCTTCTGCATCTCAGAATGTCAAGATTATGATGTGGACCTTGCCATGAGTGTTTGTGGAATGAGTGATTATCAGTTCACCTAACCCTATGCTTTATCAAGGTCAAATGGATTCCTGGGGCCAGTCTACCAATGGGCATTCATCAGGCACCTGGAGAAATACTAACAACAGTGTTCAGCTGTGGTCTGCTGGCAGGGTCCACCGTGGCCAGGCCGGTGTCACCACGGGACAGTGCTCTCCGACTCTGCTCTCAGACCCTCCACCACGTTTCCTCTTCCCCTCCAGGCTCCGCAGCCTCCAGTCTTCCTGCCACCCTGCTTCCTCCCACTTCCAAACATGTTTACCGAAGGGGCAGAGGCTGATCTTAGGGGTTGATAGCTTCTCCCGGCAGGAGGGAGATTATTCTCTTCACTTGACAGATGAGGATTCTTCTGCTTTGGGAGAAAGAAATAAAATAGATGGAATCCCAGACTGTCAGCGTGGGATGCATCCTGGAGAGTTACTGAGTTCTTTCTCCTAATTTTAAACACAAGAGAAGACCGAGAGACTTTCTGACAGTCTCTGGGGCCCAGGTTCTCTGTCTGCTGGCTTTTTCAATTCAGTACCTTTGTCCCCTAACCTCATAATTAGTAAATGTCCCAGTCCAGGACTCCTAGTTCTAAAATCCATTCTGTTTGTCACTGCCCTCCATGTCTTTCAACCTTTTATCTATAGGAGTTTATTGAAGCACATTATAATTTTCAGGTTCTAAGTTAGGCTGTTAGAATAGGGAGTTCTAACCCAGTCACGTTCCAAACCAGGTATTATTATCCATATATCAATATGAGGAGACTGGTCAGAGAAAGCTAGCAACTTCTCTAGCTAAGAACCACTTAGAATTCAAATACAGCTCCCAAGTCCTCACTCTTCCTGCTTCCCAGGCCCATGCAATGCTTTTGGCCCATGGCCAGGGATGGAATTTCCTCTCTACTCTTACTTTCTCCGACATTTTCCTGTATTTCCTCTCCATTTACCACCATCCCCCAAAAGCAGAGTGAAAGGTCTCCTCCCAATTTCCTGATCGATGGAAACGATGCCTGCTGAACCGTGTCTGTCCTCAAGCCAAGAACTGAGCCTAAAACCTCTCCTTTCTGTGCCCACCCTCACACTGGGAGTGGGAGCTCTGGGTGGCTGCAGCCTCTGGTCTGGCTTTGTTTTCTCTCATCCTTTTATTAGCTGCCTAATTGGCAGGCCAATTAATCTGTTCATCTGTGAAGGAGGATGGATCATAATGAGCCACTCCGTTTTCAGAAGCCAATCTCTGAGGCTGTGTGGCCAGGCCCTGAGTGCAGGCTGGCTTCTTAATGAAGGGCTGCCCGGGAGCTGGGGTCAATTAGTGGACAGATTAAGCAATTATGAGCCCCTAACAAGGGTGCCTGGCATCATTACCCTGCCTGTTTACTGACAAACTGCAGCTTTAATATGAAGACCAACAAATAAATTAGGGCATCTGGTCTACTGCCACATCGGACGAGAAGTGAATGATGTCCAAGTGGCTTTTGGGCTGTCCATGGATTCTCAGCCTGGGCCTATGAAAAGCCTGAGCTATCCCTCACCGGCCACAGCAGCTCTGGAATGTGCTCTGGAGCCGTTTATCATTCCAAGAGCTAAGTGCCTGCTGCTGGGCATGGGATTGTTCTTCATTACCCCGCTGCCCTCCTCCTGTCCGTCTGTCAACACCTCCTTATGCTGCAGGACCCAACTCAAAGCTTCTTTCTCCCTGATGCCTTTTCTGCTCTCTCCAGCAGGCATGGAGCCCCGCTTCTGATTTTTGGGAGGGTTTTGTACTCTCCTGTTACTTTGCAACATCACAGTCATCTTGTGGGATGCCAGAGTGCCATTTTGCCCATTTTTTTAAGGTCTTAGACAAAGAAGCAGAAGCATGGAGAAAAGGAGGGACAAGGCAAGGGCTCTGAGTTGTTTGTTTTTTACCCCCTCTCCTGTCGATGTGTACAAGCCATTGCCGGGAGGGTAGCCACAAGGGGAATGGCAGAGTCAGACCGGCGCTTTAGGGAGAAGCTTCTGGCTACAGTGCTGAGGGCACATTTCAGAGCTGGTTGCTGTTGTCCAGGCCAGATGTGACGGTGGCGCAGAGTAGAAGAGAGGCAGAGGGATGGGGCAGGGGCAGCCTTGCTAGATTCAAAGAAGAGACTTGGGACTGCCTGACTGTGGGAGGGAGGGAGTCAGGGAGAATTCCACCTTCCTAAATTCATGGCGGCAAGGGGGACTCCGGGAACAGAGGACCCTCCCAGCGGGGGAAGGGGCAGTTGGGGAACACTGAAGAAGCCTCTCTCCTCATGTGACTTGAACTGGATCCCGTCTCTCGGCTCCCTGGTGTGCCCATCGGCGGCCTGCGGATGTCGATCTCTAAGGTCCCTGACTCCGTTGTCATCGATTCGATGTCGGTATTCGGCTGCCTTAATTCACTGTGCAACTTATCCTGCCCCTCCCCCATCTCTGCCTGTCAAAACCCTGGGGGGCCTCCAAGGCACAGCTCAAGTTCAATCTTTTCTTGGAAGTCCCCCCTGTGATCCCTCACAGGAAATGCTCTCTCCATCCTGCCCAGGGGCTTTAATATTACGGCTTGAACTATCTCTTGGAAACAGAGAGAGATTTATAAAATTCATTGGCAGCACGTAATTCATAGCCATACACCCACAGTGGCTTAACAACAAAGACCCCAAATCAAATAGCGAGCTCTCACTGTTTTCTGAGCTGAGGAAACTGTGTTCCCTCCTTCTTAAAACATGGTGGGGTTAACCCAGATGCTTCTCTTTCCCTAGGGATCATTGACTTCCTCATAAGCCAGCACCCAGTCGCCCGTGCCCTGCGGGAACACCTGGTCTTCAAGATTGCACCAATGCTCAACCCTGATGGAGTCTACCTGGGCAATTACAGGTGGGTGACAGGAGAGGGTGCTTGGAAGCTGGTAGTCATAGGATGATGGTGTGGAAGCAAGAAGAAAAAGGGGCCGTATTTTTGAGGAAGGATATTCAGACTCCCCCTGAGTTCGTAGGAGGAAGTTTCACCCTGGCTCTTGAGAGTGCGGCTAATGAACCTTGGCTGTTTCTTACGCAGCTGCCTGAGATCACTTGCTGGCATTTTCTGGACAGCTTTCTGGACCAGGGATCTGGGGGCCCACTATCAGTTTTGGCACCTCCTTCCTATGTAGCCTTGGGGAATTTGCTTGCCCTCTGATGCTCAGTTTCTCTTGCATAATGGACACAATAGTTGTCAAGCACTTACCTGCCAGGGCACTTACGAGCATCAGAAGAAATGGTGAGGATAAATGTGCTCCGCAGAATACCATGTGGAGGTTCTCATGATCACTATTTCATATCTGCGTTTCTTCTCGGAGATCATTCATGATGGGCGGCATTCCAGATCACCTGAGCAGCAATTCTTTGTGTGGGGCATACCAGCCAGCCCCACACTCACTCATGCACTCACGTCTTCAGTTCTCTTTCTCCTGGTAGCACCATAAATTACAACCTAAATTCCAGTGCTCAGCGGTCGTCTGCCGAAAGAACACTGGGTCCTCTCAGATCAGGTTACTGTAGTACCCTTATTTCACAGTTGAGGATACTGATTTGCCCAAAGTCACACACCCAGTAAATCACTGACTGACTAACTTCACTGCCCAAATTATACAGCTTTGTTGCTGATTAGTCCAGCAACAACCCTGTAGAAAACATCCAAACTTCTGAGCTCAGCGTGCAAGGCTCTGTATGCCCTGGTGCCTGTCTGTCCCCCATGCTGCCTCACCTCCCGCCCTCTACTCTTAGAACAGTTGCTGCAGCCACACTAAGTAAAGCCGAGTTCTCTAGACATGTCCTGTTGGTCTCTGACACCTTCCTCTCTGCCCAGGGCCTCCTCATCCCCTCTTCATCCCACTAGCCCTCTTCACAACTCAGCTGTGCCCCTTCTGGAAAACATTCCCCAGCCCCACAAACAGAGCTGGTCACTGCCGTCTCTGAGCTCCCAGTGGCCTGGTTATTGAGCAAGTTTTATCCTATCACATGGACCCCACTGAGCCTGCAGCCACCAGAGAGCAGAGACTGAGCCTTCATAATGTGTGTGTATACCCCAGGGCCTAGCAGCAAGGATCAGCACATAGCAGATGCTCAAAAAGTGTTTGATGGGTGTGAGTGAGGGGAGCCATGAGTTCACCGGTGAAGAAACTGAGGCCCAGAGATGAGACAGGACCTGCCCAAAGTCGGTGGCAGAGCTCAGACCAGAGTGCAGACTGTCTGATACCCGGCTGGCTTCATTTTAAACAGAGTTGGTTTACTACTTTCTGGGAGCATGGCAACTGGGTCCCGAGGGGTCCCCTAGTCCCCCTGGGTATGAGTTAGAGAGAGCTCATGGGATGCATGATGCCTTAATTAAAGACAATTTTGCTTCCTCTCTTAATTGGCTTGAGAGATGGTTCATTAGCACTGGCAGGTTTTACGGCTTGCTGCAGGCCCGAGAGCAACGCCTTCCTACCGTCCCTAGATAGAATGTACTGTTAGAGATAACAGTGGCAGAATGACCGCTTGATTTATGTTAACATTTCTGCTTAATTACAAGAGCGGCAGTGGTCAGAGGGAGGTCAACGCTGTCCATTCCACACACATATTTATGTCATCATCTGCTGTCTGGGGATGATGAGTGGAAAGAGGTCTGTGACCTTGGCCAAAACGCCTCCCGCTCTGGGTTTTGGATGGCCAGTGGGGCAGTGATGAGGACCCAGATACTCTAATGCATCTTCAAGCTCCAGATTTTTTGCTTTGGGATTTCAGGATGAAAGAGCTCCAACCCTCAGAATCCGTTCTGTACTGGTTTAAAGCCCCCGATGTTCTCCTACTGAGAATATGGGATTCTCATTATGAGAGTCAGAGAAAACCTCTGACCACAGGCATTAATCCTAGTGCTAAGCGGCTCTGCATAGCAACAGAGGAGCCTATCCATCATGAAAATTCACTACTGCAGATTGGGAGAATGTGGAAAATAATAATGAAGGCTCAGAGATGGAAGCTTCAAGGTGCCTTAGAGGCCCTCTGGGCCAGCCCCTCCCGAGCCTCCTCCTGTTGCAACAGCAGCCCCACAGCTCGGTGGGGCTTCCCATGGCATTATGGGGAACGGCAGGGAACAATCCAGCATTCAAGTAAGTTTGGGAAACACAGAGCTAAGGGAAGTTAAATATGTTCTTTTATGAAAAGATTTTTTTCAGTTTTGAAAATGCTAATAAACAGGAATCTAAAGGGGAGAATATAGCATTTAGTGTTTTCCAAATGTAAGTATTAGGGAACTTTTTCATATAGAGCAGGGGTGTCAAACTCATTTTCACCAGGGGTCACATGAGCCTCGTGGTTGCTTTCAAAGGGCCGAAATAATTTTAGGACTGTATAAGTGTAACTAGTCCTTGACTGTTAAGGGGTTGAAATTACATTTGGCCCTTTGAAGGCAACTGTGAGGCTAATGTGGCCCCCGGTGAAAATAAGTTGACACCGCTGATCTAGAGCTTGTTTTGCTCACCTAGTCCCTCCCTTGGCCCCCACAGGCATTAGGGTTTATAAACACATTGCAGGAAATGCCACTCCAAGAATTCTATTTGCTCCCCCAGCACCACATTAAGCACTCCCACATTTATCTCATTTAATCCTTGCAACCACCATGTGAAGGGAGGGTAGTCTTTGCTAAGGCTTTTGTGTTTGCAAAGAATAAAAATCTCAAATTTGCTTGAGTACAGAAGGAAAGTCAGGAAGGAGAGGGCGGGTAAGAGAGGAAAGAAAGAAGAAAGGGAGGGAAGGAAGGAGGGAGGGAGGTCACTTGTCAGGGCTCTTGGACAGCATGCAGAGCCAGAACTGATCACATGGCTGGAAACAGGCCGGCATGCATGCGGCCTTGTGGGCCACGTCGAGGCTGGCTCTCTCTCTCGTGCTCTCTGACTGTCACTTTCTCAGCGTCACCTCGGGACATTGTTGGAAGCCTCTCAGGCCTCAGTGCAGTGGAATCACCTGCCTTAGGTTGTGTGGCCGTGAGGAGCAGGCAGGGATGTTGGTCCATCCAGCCTGATCAGGCCCATGCTCCCTGCAGCCCCACGCTCCCTGCGGCCCACATCAGGCATTGCAGGCCTGAGTGAAAACAAGACACAGGCCTGCCCGCGAAGCACCTCTGCTCTCCTCCTCTCCCCACCCCCTGTTGCGTGGGTCACCGGCCAGCAGTGATCACGGAACACTGTGGATGGCTCGACGAAAAACACGTGAGAAAAAACACATGCACAGAGACAAACTAGTTTCTGTGGGGAAGTAGGGACGAAATGGCAACCCCCCCTAGTGGGGAGCGCGCTGGTTTACCGTCCATATCTGCTTTTATTGGGCTCATTTTGCATAATAATTCAGGTAAAGTACAGTACTCATTAGGGGAAAGTAAGGAACCATAGAAAACAAAGAACTCTGCCGGTCTATTGAGTCGGGGTCAAAGAGCTGTAAGACTGAGGAACAAACTAACTTCCTCCTAAGACCCTTCTCATTCAACTGAGAGCATTCTAAACAAACAAGGTTTCACAGTAATTTACATGTTCTTTCTTAGGCCTGATCACCCGGGGAATCCGCCCTTTTCAGCACAGAGCTGCACCACCCTGTCATTGTTTCAGGCTTAGGTGGAGCACAGGAACTAAGGCAACCGAGAGACAAGGAGGTTTTCTCCCAGACAATGAGAACTCAGGCTATGTCAAAGCCGAGGAGTGAGGATCCATCACCCCCTTTTGCTGCAGCCCCCCAAGTCCTTCTTTTGGGGGGGGCCTCCCAAAAGTGATCGTGCCTGTCTTAGGTCATTCCCCCTGTGGGGAAGCTTACCCGTCTTTGGCTAACCGACCAAGCTTTTTGGGGTTCAGTTATGAATAAAGCAGCAGAAGCAGCATTCCTGCCAGGGAGATAAGCTTTTGTCTCCTTGCTGGCTTACAGTTCCAAGGGCGTTCCCTTAGCCTTAGCCTAGGCGGGGGTTTCAGCTCCTGATACCAGTCAGGGCGGTTCCCAACAACCCCCCACACTTCTCTGCTTCTCCTTCCCCTTGCCTTCTTCTGCATTAAAGGAACATGGAATGCAATCCAGGAAGGACAGTCAGATTTGATCACGCACAGTTGACATCCAAAAATACAAGTATCTACACCATCGTGTTTATAGTGAGCTAGACAAGGTACACCCTAGCATTTAATTGCAAAAGGTGGCAGCTGTATCACAGTAGACAGTGCTCCTTATGTTAAAGAGCAAGTATTATTTACTAACTAGACTACTATATACGCTAGCAAAGGTCAGCTGGGAGTGCTATGCAGGGCCCATACCAAAGCCCACAGCAACTAAACCACACACTGCAGTAGCCCTCTGTAATAGGTAGATGATGTAACAGCAGGTAACAATGACGTTACAGCATAAATAAAGACACAGGTCAACTGTACACTCTGTGTTCCTTCCTACACTCCAATTGCACTGGCCTTTTTTACAGTTTGTGTCTGAGGTTTAATGCAAATTCACCGAAGGCCTTCCCTGAGCCTCCAGTGTAAAGCCTCCAGTGTACTCTTCAGGGGCATTTTGTTCTGTCCTTTCACAGCCCTTAGCCCAATAAGTGACCCTGCATTTATTTATGTGACTATTAGTTTGATGGCTCTCTCCATCTGTAGACTGTAAACTCCATGAAGTCAGGACTTGGTTTATCTGTCCCCCCAAAGCCTGGTATGGTGCCTAGCACAGAATGGGACACACACACACACACACACACACACACACACACGCACACGTAATCTGAATGAATCAATAAACTAAGCAGTGCTTAGTAGCTGTGCTGTGGCACAGAGCTACAACCCCCAGTGCAGAGTCAGGATCATAGAGACAGAGAGCAGGATGGTGGGGCTTGCG